GGGGATTGCAGCTAAACAGCTTCTTCACATGAAACAATACAAGATCCCAGATGGGATTTAAACCAAGAGCTGTTAGTGTCAAAAGTTTTAAAACTAGCAAAACCACTGAATTAATATATAGAGGACAATAGGTTAAATACTAAATTTATTGAACAAGTTAAACAACAGCCATGTCAACATGGCCATCCCCCGCCGAAAGTGTTTGCTCATTGGAAGAATGTATATGTAGTAAAGCAGAATAATTCAATTTTAAGAGGTCTTTTGGTGGCTGAAGTGATAACAGATTTGAAACCTATGTGAATACTGATGGCTGAAAATAACAAAGGGCAATAACTGAAAAATAATGCAGGGTAGGTTATCATTCTTATGTGCTGCACCCCTTCTCAGTAAAATCTATCCACCTATGAATTTTCAAGTTTTTACCTCAATACTTTTTGAGATAAGCTCCGGACAAAAAAGTATGAAAAAGAACAAAGGGCAATTACTCAAAAATTATCTAGGGAAGAGTCATCATTCTTGCGCACAGCATTCCTCCTCAATAAGATCTATCCACCTATGACATTTCAGGTTGACATCTCAAACACTTTTGAGTTATGCTCCACTCAGGTGAAAAAATTAAGTATGAAAAATAACAAAGGGCAATAATTCAAAAATCATGAAAGGTAGAGTTATCATTCCTGTGCACTGCACACCTCCTGAGTGAGATCTATGCACCTATGAAGTTTCATGTTGATATCTCAAAGGCCTTTTGAGTTATGCTCTGGACAAAAATTAATTTTGAAAAATAACAAAGGGCAATAACTCAAAAATTATGCAGAGTAGAGTTATCATTCTTGTGCACTGCACTCCTCCTCAATGAGATCTATCCACCTATGAAGTTTCAAGTTGATACCTCAAATACTTTAAGAGATATGCTCCGGACAAAAATGTCGGACGGAAGGACGGACGGAGACTATTTCTATATCCCCCGCCGCCTTTTCGGCAGGGGATAATAAAATCATATTATATGAGCCTATATAATAGTTTTTTTCAATGAGTTAAATGAATTTAATATTGGATCTACATTGTACACCAATTTAATATTCTATTTATCACATAACCAAAATAAGAACGGTTTACAGTAAAAAAAAGTCATTTTTCAAGGACACCCTGTAGTGTAAAACAAACATTGATTATAAGCCTTTTTTACACCATGTTTGTATTGCAGTAGTGGAATGTAGGTTTTTATCAAATGGCTTTATTAAACTTGGCTAGAGTGTTTCATGTGATAATGAAAAGTAGAAAATATTATCATATAAATGTTATAAATACCGAAGCTTCTAGAGGCCATGTCTTCCACAGACTAGGTAAATTTTCGATGGGTTCTATAAATGGAATGAGGAGCATGAGTAATAACGCCGACAGAGGGGCTTGATAAAACAACAGCTGCATGGAGTTCACTTGAAATTCATGTTGTTTCTCTCCTACCCACTGGAAATATAACAAAGTAAAAACCACATTAGAGAGTCATAAAAGTAAATATCATTTTAATAACTTCAAATATTTCCTTTTTCCTTTTTTGTCTCAAATAATATCAAAGCCATTTTAAAATGATGTGACTGACAATAAATTACAAAATTTACCTCAAAACCAGCCAATATTTAACTATCAAATAATACATATACCTTAGAGAAGAAAAGGTTCATAAAATATTGGTTTATATAAGAACAAAGACAATTTCTTCATCATTTATCTAATAATTGCAGGGGTTTGTATTTATCTGCAGCAGTGGCATCCTGACATTTTGTTAGAGCTGTCATTGATTTAGTGCAAAGCATATTGACCATACATCGATATTGGATGAAATATATTGACAATACACCGATATTTATCGATATATAGTCCTAATTTAATTTCGTGTATATAATTAATTCAATTTCATACCTGTTTAACTGATTTTAGTAAAACAAATATGTTCAGTTGTGTCCTGTATATAAATGAATTATTATGTCTTTTGCATGATTTTTTTTCTGATCATTTTTTTTTTGTTATCACAAAGCTATGAAATGTGTTCATTATGTAACAAGGGCTTGGTGTTAGACATGTTAGACATGCTTTTGTGTATGTACTGGTTGATTTTCCATAATTTATAGACATTTAAATAATTAATCAAAATTATTGATTTTTTCAAATGTGTATCGATCACTGATCGACAGAACAATATCATACAAAATACATTGATATGTATGATCTCTATCAATGACAGCTCTATATGAGCCGCGTCATGACAAAACCAACATAATGCGTTTGCGACCAGGATGGATCCAGACCAGCCTGCGCATCCGCGCAGTCTGATCAGGATCCATGCTGTTCGCTATCAGTTTCTCTACTTGTTATAGGGTTTGTAAGCGACCAGCATGGATCCTGATCAGACTGCGCGGATGCGCAGGCTGGTCTGGATCCATGCTGGTCGCAAACCCATTATGTTGGTTTTGTCATGACGCGGCTCATATTTTGTTTATAAAGATCATTAATAAATAATACAAAACATGCTGAGATCAGATTACATTATATTAATGCTTAAGCTTCAAAAATTCTGTCACTCCTTCAACATATCTGGATATATTTACGCTTCAAACCAAAAGTATATATAATTTATACAGAAAATCATGCTGGGACTTTAAAAAATGTCATTTTAGTGTGATTTCAGTGCTTATGATCATTTTAATATTTTTGTCCTTTATTTGCCTGAGTATCCCTAAAACCAGCTATTTTTTCACAGCTTTATTTTTTTTATTAGGATGGTCCCCTATGGTACCACTGTTCTTATTATTTCCAGCAAATTGTACAAATAAAAAGAACTTATATTAACTATTTTTTGAATTGTGTTTAGCTGTCGCATCTTGACTTTAAAATACACATGTCATTCATAGAATAACTCAATGATTTTAATTAGAAACATCTATGCGCGATCAGCCATGTTTAGAATGGGAGCTTATACGGAGAGCACTATGGTACCATGGTATGTTAATTGATGGCCCTTTTTGGCTTCAGTATAATTTTTTGTAACAGAATATGCTGTCACTACAGTTTCAGCAGACGACCTTCACGTGTCGGAATATGAAATTATAAGTTCAACCATTAAATATGGGGTAAAATAAAGAAGTTTTTCAGCACATACAGGCAGCTTTGGATTTTCCTATCAATGACAGAATTTATTTGAAATGAAAAAAATTTCTAACAATTTCTATCCAAATTCACAAAAAGCAGCACTTCCACTTCCACTATAATGGTGGAAACAGTATTTGGTAGCATTCAATGTGTAAAGAAACAAATTTCCTATTACATCGGAATAGGCAAGGACGCGGTACCCGCGGGGAGTAGTATACTAATTTTTGTATAAAAGGTAAAATTATGTTGTTTCCATTATTTTATGCTGGATTCTAAGAACAGTTGTAACATGGAATATTTCTATTAACCCATTACCAGATATATACGCCTTTTTCACCCCCCCCCCCCTTTTGCTTTCTCAAATGGTGAAAAATTGACTTATTTAGGCCCCCCAACACTTGTTTTTGTTTGAGAAATGTTATTTTAAAAATTGACCACTTTTTCGGTGCCGTCCCCCATCCAAAAGATACATCAGGGGGTTGCCAGAAGGAGGATGTGCTTCCTTCTGTTTTGGGGGGTTTGAAGGGGGGCTTGGCAAAGCCCCCCTCATCGCCAAGAAAATTTTGGACTTGTGAGAGGCTAAAAATGACCCCAGGTCGATCATAAGGTAACGTGTAACCAATGCTGAAAAGCCTTTGACTCTATCTCAATCCATTGAGAAGTGGCAGCACTTTGAAATCAATTTTGATGGAAAAAATCAACGCAAAATAGTGATTTTTGGCAATTTTGAGATGTCCCCTAGTTGCCATGGTAACAGGAAATTTAAGACTGAGCATGTTGTTAGAAAGGCAATGGTCCAGTCAACATTTGTGCCAAGTTTGATTAGTATTCAAGCAGTTTTTATAGTTTTATAGCAACTTGAACTTGTAACGGGAGACTTTTCAATGAATTTTTCACAAAATGCTCATGGGGTAATGGGTATATTGTATGTAAACAGAATAAAACATTCCAGAACAAAGTATTACACTGCTATTTGCAATTATTTCATGCCTGCACCATTTGCTCTTATGGTAACATGTTTCTTTCATATAGATAAATTGGAGGTATTTATTTCATACATGTAAATTAGAGGTATTCTTTTTCAAAATTCAAACAATGATTTTGTAAACAATATGCAGCAGATAATATAGTTTTATACACTTCAAACAAGCAATTTATCTCTACTGCTGCACCACTATTATATAAATATTGAAACAGTAGAAAAATTTATGCATACACAAACTGTCGTATTACAGTATCAGGACATCAAAGGCAGCTGTTTGATACAGATGTCACTTATATTGTGATTGAATCTTTATGATAGAAAATCTTTAACTTACAACTGCTGTACAATCAATATTTCATTACATGTATAAGATATTTTTTCTAAAAAAGCTTTTTGTGCTGGCAGCACATGCATTCTGTCTGATCAGGGTCTGCACAGTTTGATTTTCAATCAGTATTTATTTTGAAATTTAACAAGAGGGCCATGATGGCCCTGAGGTCACTCACCTGTTTATAGGCCCCCGGAGCGGGGCCAGTTTGTTTAATTTGAACAAACTTGGTAGACACCCATAAGAAGATGTTTCATGCTAAACATCTAAGCTCTAGCTCATTGGGTTTTTTAAAAGAAGATTTTTTAAGTTTTTACTATACACATATAGTTAAAAACAATGACACCCCTGGGGCGGGGCCAGTTTTGACCCCAGGGCTTTTATTTGAACAAACTTTGTAGACACTTACTAGAAGATGTTTTATCCTTAATATCTAAACTCTAGCTATTTAGGTTTTTTCAAAGAAGATTTTTAAGTTTTTGCTATACACATATAAGGAAAATCAATGACCCCCTGGGGCGGGGCCAATTATGACCCCAGGGCTTTTATTTGAATAAACTTGGTAGACACCCATTAGAACATGTTTCTTGCTAAATATCGTAACTCTAGCTCTTTGAGTTCTTTAAAAGAAGATTTTTTAAGTTTTTACTATATGCATATAGGGAAAATCAATGACCCCCTGGGGCGGGGCCAATTTTGACCCCAGGGCTTTTATTTGAACAAACTTGGTAGACACTCATTAGAAGATGTTATGCTAAATATCTTAGCTCTAGCTCTTTGGGTTCTTTAAAAGAAGATTTTTTAAGTTTTTACTACATGCATATAGGGAAAATCAATGACCCCCTGGGGCGGGGCCAATTTTGACCCCAGGGCTTTTATTTGAACAAACTTGGTAGACACTCACTAGAAGATGTTTCATGCCAAATATCTAAGCTCTAGCTCTTTGAGTTTTTTAAAAGAAGATATTTAAAGTTTTTTTCTTTTGGTTGCCATGGCAACCAGAGTTCTACATGGAATTAAATTCTTTGAACAATTTTTAAAGGTGACCACCAAAGGAATATTCCTGTGAAGTTTGGAAGAAATTGGCTTAGTGGTTTATGAGGAGATGTCAATTAAAGTAAAAGTTTACGGACGGAAGGACGCCGGACAGACGAAAAGCGATCACAAAAGCTCAACCTGTCACTTTGTGACAGGTGAGCTAAAAATCCAGTACATCTTTAAAACCACTTAAGACAACAGTGAACTGACAATTAACAGAAAGTTAGTCTCGTACAAGTCTAATTTTGACCGATGTTTAACTTGAACAACTATTTACTAATATGATCCCTCACAGCATGTGTATCGTTATTATAAATGATGTGATTGGTGTGAACACTCAATTGGTTTATCCAAATTACTGATTTAAAGATTTATTTTTTAATTAAAGTTATATTTTAAACTATGCCAACACTGTAAAGGCGACAATTGTATGACTCATTGCATTACAGCTTTATTGGTAGAGGAAGACCCCACATGCTTCTCTGTACATCATTTCAGAAAATTTCAAAAAATTTATTCACTGGGAAAACTGCCAAGACATGCATGTACATTTGGCAACAAAAAAAATATATAAAATCACTGACATGGCTTTAAGCATTTTATAATTCTTAGCTTCTATCGGAACTTACCACTTGATATAATGAAGTGACCAGCACCCCTATACCAGCAAACACTATACCAATGACATTAAATTTCACATCATAATAGGAGTTGAGAAACACACCAAGTGCTATCGGAACCTGTAATAACAAGGTACACATAACATATAAATAAAGAAATGTGCAATAGGAAACAGAATAAAATGGATGATGTTTTCCAAAAAAATATGATATATATAATAATATTTGTAACTGAACATACAAAATAATTATATACTAGCAGTAAAACATACATGACTTGTATATCTGTAATAGAACTGTCATGTTTCTTTTCTTTTTTTAAAATAGGAAATTGTTTTAGTATGAAAACAGTTATCCAACTATTTTTTTAGCTTAGAGAAAAAAAATTGAATATTTAGTGGTAAAGGTTACAGTGATGATGTATATAATTACATCAGTTCCAATTCTGAATAATGATAATCTTAAGAATAATTAAGAACATTTGTGATAAAAACACACCCTATATAAGTTTCAGAATCTCTTGAAAGATAATATTAATTATTTTTTGAGAGAATTCAGTTTAAAATTCTTTACTCTCAAATTCTCAATCATTCCACACTACTAGTTAAGGCTCCCACGTTTACAATTTTTTTGCAAACGTTTACACGGTGTAAAACCAAAATGATACCGTTTGGTACTTTTATGTACTATTCAATACCATGTACATGTATTTTAGTAGCCAAATGATGACTTACTTTCTATTTAATGCATGTACAAATAAATAATGTTCAGGTCTCATTGCAATGGAATCTGCGCATATTTTCTGCATTGTATCTCCGTTTTGCTCTTTTGAAAGATCAAAGGAATATCAAGTTTACAAAAAATGTATTATGTAACAAGTGATTATTGCACGGTGATGCTGTGTGGAGGGTTGTAAACACCCATTTTTTGTTTATTTTACTTTGGAATAAATCAATTAGAATTGATAGAATTACTGATTACAGGCATTGATTTAGATATTTTGTAAGACAATAAGGTCATTTTGTTTAAACGTTAAAAAATATCGCGAAGGGTTACAAATGAAAATCGAAACGAATATGTTTAAACGTGTAACCGTGGGGGCCTTACTACTACTCGTGCAAATATATATACGAGTTATGATAAATAATAATAACCACATCTATATACAGGTACTATTTATTTATAATCCTCACCTTCCAGGGAATAGCAAATCAAACTAAATTTCAGTGTCAGCACCCCTGGCAATTTTGAAAAAAAATCTAATACAGGTTATTTGATTATAGGGTTATCCTTTAGACAATCATATGGAAGAGGGAAAACGCAAATGTCTGAAAAATACAGACTAGACCAATTGTTTATCCCATGAGAATGATATGACATGTTTACAAATCAACGAAGCTGGGAGGAAATGGATTAGGTCAGTAAGACCTCAAAATATTCTGAGCACTTCCCTTAGTTTTCAGTTTGTTTATCAGTGAACCTTATATCATTGCCTTTGTGAATGAAGATTAGTTGACTAAAGCAATGCAGATGAAGTTAGTCACTCAGTGTGCTTTAAAAAGATTTCGAGTCATTTTGGTCCCAAGACTTTTTGACCCCAAATTACCCAAGACGTTTTATCTAAATTGTTAAATTAAGAGTTCAATAGATGATTTCTGAGGCATAATTGTAAATTGTAATTACTGAAACTTTGTTAATCAAAAAGTTTTTGCAGTTATTCAACTAAATTTTATCTTATTAATTAAAGATTAATGTGTCTTAATTAATTGTTATACTTTGAAAAAAGTAGCGTATACCTTAAGAGATCGATAGATAATGAATGATCAATTAAGGATCAAAGTGTCTTACATGAACATGTTCATGTGCCATCAATTAAAGTGTCTTACTTGTTTGTGTGCAATCAATTAATCAATATTATATACTAGATCTACTAATGATTTTTTAATGATTTAAGTATTAAAATTCTTTTTCATATTAAATTAAAAATGTGCCAAAACGTCACATAGAAAAGGGTCGAAACGTTTTGGGGCCACTTTTTGCACAGGTACTGAAATGTCCTGTTAAAAAGGCTGTTTGCCTTTAACAGTTTAAAAATCTTACCACTGTCAGTTGCACAGGTAGTGAAAATTTCTTCTGGTAAAACTGGGTTTGAATCAGCATTATGCATGGTGTTGTTAATGACTTGATAAGTTGGTATGTCCCTACTGTATTTGTTTCTAATGACAAGTTCGTGAAAACAACAAAACCGCAAAATGTACACGCTAGCGGTAACATGCCGACAACAGGTAGCCGTTTGTGCTGGAACACGTTGAATTGGTGACATATCAGAAGTCCAATGGTTGTCACGATAAAATGAATGCATGTTAAGGTAACATTTGGAAATCCGTAATGTGTATAAATCCATTTATTTATCAAGACAATCACAATAGAGCAACAAATATTCAAAAATAAACACAGTGCTACGAAACTCTGACTGGGCGCCGCCATTTTGAATTTATGTGGTACAGAATAACCAGAAGGCGAATATCGATTTCGCCTTGTAATCATCGTCATAACAACAAATTTATTTCTGATAAAATAATTTACTATAACCTCTTTTTCTGAATAGAATTAACAAAACACATTCTATTGCTCAACATATAGACTTTAACTTCGGTTACTAATTTCATCGTGTTTGTTTGAACCTTGAACTTTGATAAGAAGCATTTCCGGCTGAAACATGATCCAAGGTAACGGGGGTATGGACTAATCAAAATCTCTAAAATCAACAAGAACAGAACCAAAATATGTCTATATAGTCGATATTATATCAAAACTTTCAGTAAATCAATTATACATGCAGCAAGCAGTAGGTAAATGGTCAGTTAAATCACAATATAAATAATATATGCAATATACTATAAATCCGTGGTTAAATTAATTGCGCCAGGCTTTATCTAAAAAGGGCCACATATAACCGTACAATACCACGGGTAAGCCGTTACAAAGCAATAATTTGTCTATCCACTTATAACATAATTCAGTTTGATTATTGCCAAAGCAAAATAATGTGACATATACTAAAAAAATACTTTTTCATTTTTTTTCCATATTCATAGTAAATCGTCAATCAGTCTTCCATTTTTTTTTTAAAATCCACAATTTCGTATTTTAACAATTTTTCTATGAAGTATTGAACTATTTTCTGCTTTAAATTGTTATCTGGTCAATGTGGAGATCTGGGTTGAATTAGCCACGTGTTGAATGAGCGACCCCTCGTTGCGTCTATATACATAAAGATGTGACGTTTCATGAGTGGAGTAAAGTTTTAGACGCGCGAAACTCTAAACTGCTACAATCTGAAGATGTCGCACATAATCATTTTAAGGATAAGTGTTGAATTTTTGAAGATCTGAGTTACTTTTTCATGCTGGTTAATAATTGAAATTTTTGTACGTCTTTCAAAATAGGCATTTTTAATAGAATTATAGATCTCCTTATAGTTATGTTTTCTAACACGGTTCTATTTTCTATGATTCAAATGAAGGTCATCCGCCATTTAAGGAAAATGTTTTGTGATATGGTTACAAGATCTAGTGAGGGCAGGATGAGCCTCTTCTTGCAGGGTAGGTTGTGCCACTGTCACAACCTGTCCCGTTCACGGATAATTTGTGCTATACCTATGTTTCTAACATATGATTCTCTGGTTGGTTACCAGTTAAACATAATTATATTGAAATATCACTTATCATAAAACAGTGTCTTTTAAAATAACCTCTTTTATGCCAGATCTGGTGGTACTTGTGAACAAGCACACACTTGAGAGGTATCCTTATGCTTTCGCGTCACTCCGTGCCAAAGACATTCAGAACTTAAATGAGACTAATGTAACCTCAGTGAAAGAACTGGCAACATTTTCTCGGTAAAATTCTTTTAAAAAATCGTTTGGGGAGCGGTGGATGGCATAAAGTGTAATATGAGACTGATTATATAAATGTGTACATGCGCATGCTTAGAAAGTAGTACAGCAGTTCTTACAGTGTTACAAAATCCCATAGCTGTCTATCTTATACAGGTTTGACTGTATACAATTGTCAGAAATTTTCATAAATGTAATTATAACATAATATACATTTATGTTTACTAAATAAGTCTTTACTTTGAAGTGGCACAACATAACGTGAGTTTGAAATGTACAAACCATCTTTTAAAAGATGGGATAATGAATCCCTAGCGCCATTGTTAGTTATAGTAGGGAATCGACGTATCACTTTTATCTAATTACAGGTTCAAAACAAGTAGCTCATTCAATCCCAGCAAGTGGCTCATCCAACCAGGGCACGGGGTTAGTTGAGGCAATTTTAAAAGATGGCAATTATAACAATTCAAAGAGTAATGTTTAGATATCTTACTTTAATGGTAACCCTTGTTATGTAAAAATACGATTTCGTTCTTAAAACTATTTTTCTAATCAAAACTATTTTTCTAATCGATAAACAGATTGTAACTTGTCTTAAACCAGCGTCGAAAAATAGTGACTCATCCAACCCAGGTCTTGCAACCATATTTTTGACAATGGGCATTATTTAATTGAATTCATTGGCATAAATATTTTAATCAAAATGTTACCAAAATTGACTGTCAAAAACACAAAAAAAACAAAACAAAACAACAAAACAATTTTCTATGGGGAGACCGGTACATTATTGGATAGGCATTTTTATTGATACTGTCATAATATATCATATGATAATTTTTTTTGATATTTAAAGATACTCTTCCATTGGTTTATAATATACATGTATCACCAAATAAAGCGTCTCTTGTGAATTGTTTCATTTTGCCCTGCCTTTGGGACAAAATGGGATATAATACGGGGCAAATGGTTTATCGTCCATACATGAATTAAACCATTTCAAAATGACAATGTTTAGAATTGCACTTCTTCTCCTGGATTGCTCCTGCGTTATCCAGCTACGATTGACTGGTGCGTTTATTGTAATTGGAATCTCATTTTCATGTGTCTGAGATTCTGACAGACAACATGTCTTGTATAAATTGCTTTTTAGAACAACCTTTCAACACATTACTAGACATTTCTGCCCCAAAATTACACTTTTTGTCAGGCTACTGACGAACAGCGTGACAGCGGAATTGACGTTAAGTGGCTAATCTATATCAACATCATAAGCGGGGATGGGCGTGCATAAATTATCGAAGAGGGCCTTGTTTCAGTGACGGTCCAGTTAAATGACCTTTCGAAAAAGTGTGGGACTGTTTATATTTGTAAACGTCATTCCGCACCCCGTATTACCGGCGGCAGTGATGGCAGATCACTGCAGTGATGGCAGATATCTGAAAATTACCGATCGATACAGGTAGGTTATAAATTTGGTTGGTTTAATTATATTACACAAATACGGCCCATATCATTGCTATAAAACTATTGTCCACTGAATGGAGATACTGTAAGGTAATTTTGGACTCGTTTTTTTCCTGTTTTCAGACTATTTTGAGCAGGTTAAAAGTGAAAGCCTTAGAAAAATCCGTGAAAATGTCTGTTTTCTGTTCAAAATATCTCAAGTTTTAAGTAAATGGCAGGATTTCCTGTTATCAATATAGACTTTCATCCATTTGGGTCACGCAAGCCAAATATCTACCCCGTGAGTCTTTTCTTGAAAGTTTTACAGACGCTCAATCTTGTCCGGTCGAAGAAAAAATGCTGCCGTTGTAGGCAGATACATATTATAAATGCTGCCGTCGATGGCAGATATATCATGAAAGTGGCTAACATTCTGACAGAAAATCAAGTTCAATCTTTTATCAATTCCTCTTTTCTTTGCGTCCTTTTAGTCAGAATTGAGACGTTAAACTATCATTTCTAATATTTTCTCAAGATAGAAAAGTTATTAACCCATTACCCCATGAGCATCTTGTGAAAAATGGCTGTTTTCATTGAAAGGGCTCCCGTTACAAGTTCAAGTTGCTATAAAACTATAAAAACTGCTTCAATACTAATCAAACTTGGCACAAATGTAGACTGGACTATTGCCTTTGTAACAACATGTTCAGTCTGAAATTTCCTGTTACCATAGCAACTAGAGGACATCTCAAAATTGCCAAAAATCACTTTTTTGCGTTGATTTTTTCCATCAAAATTGATTTCAAAGTGATGCCACTTCTCAATGGATTGAGATAGAGTCAAAGGCTTTTCAGCATTGGTTACACGTTACCTTATGATCGACCTGGGGCCATTTTTAGCCTCCCACAAGTCCAAAGTTTTCTTGGCGATGAGGGGGACTCAGCCCCCCTTCAAACCCCCCAAACAGAAGGGGGCACATCCCCCTTCTGGCAACCCCCTGATGTATCTTTTGGATGGGGGTGGGGGGCCGCGCCGAAAAAGTGGTCAATTTTTTAAACAACATTTATCAAACAAAAACAAGTGTTTGGGGGCCTAAATAAGGCATTTTTTCACCATTTGAGAAAGCAAAAAAGGAGGGGGGGGGGTGAAAAAGGCGTAGAAAGGCGTATATATCTGGTAATGGGTTAACAGAAAATGATGAAAAAAAACGAAATTACCCAAAAACGCGTTTTTCCATGTTAAAACATGGCCTCACATATAATTTTGAAGAAAAATTGCTGTTTTGTAGATTTTTTGATTTTTTTCATTAATGCGGTATGTGCATCGAAAAAAAGCTTATTAGCAACATTTTTTGCATGAATATAGAAAAATGAAGTTTTTCATGTTCATTTCTCTATTTATAGTGAAATTTTGTCGTACTAAATCATCACTTTTTGTATTGTAACTGCATGTTGCTAAAAAGCTTTTTTCGATGCACACACCGCATTAATAACTTTTCTATCTTGAGAAAATATTAGAAATGATAGTTTAACGTCTCAATTCCGACTAAAAGGACGCAAAGAAAAGAGGAATTGATAAAATATTGAACTTGATTTTCTGTCAGAATGTTAGCCACTTTCGTGGTATTTCTGCCATCGACGGCAGCATTTATAATAATTATGTATCTGCCTACAACGGCAGCATTTTTTCTTCGACTGGACAAGATTGAGCGTCTGTAAAACTTTCAAGAAAAGACTCACGGGGTAGATATTTGGCTTGCGTGACCCCAATGGATGAACGTTTATATTGATAACAGGAAATCCTGCCATTTACTTAAAACTTGAGATATTTTGAACAGAAAACAGACATTTTCACGGATTTTTTCCAAGGCTTGCACTTTTAACCTGCTCAAAATAGTCTGAAAACAGGGAAAAAACGAGTCCAAAATTACCTTACAGTATCTGCATTCAATGGACAATAGTTTTATAGCAATGATATGGGCCGTATTTGTGTAATATAATTAAACCAACCAAATTTATAACCTACCTGTACCGATCGGTAATTTTCAGATATCTGCCATCACTGCAGTGATCTGCCATCACTGCCGCCGGTAATACGGTGTGTTCCGTAATGTAGCCTTAAAGAAGTGGTCAGAAAATAAGTGTACCAGCATATCGTTTTTAAAAGCTGTTACACTTATTATTGTTTTACAGTATTATATTATTTTATTGTATTATACTTTTCTAAGAAAAAAATTTTGCAACCTGTTTTCTACTTTTGAATTAGTGATTGAGCTGATCAACACGAATCGATTAAAAAGTATGAGGGGGAAAACATACTTTTTATATCTATTCGACAAAATTTTGAAGCAATCTAAGAAATTTTTGCA